CTGCCATTCAAGTCTAGCAGAACCAGATGCCTGCTCTTTGAGAAAGCCAGCTGAGAGGGTACCTACACAGCCCTGCTGCCTTAAAAACAGCCTGGGTACCACCGGCTGGTGAGTTGGCACAGGGGGTGTAAGGGGTTGGGTGAGGGGGATGCCCAAACTGTCTGAGAGGGCATTTGCCCAAAGCTCATCTCGGTAAAGAGGAAGACAATGATCAACTGTATTAAACAACAACTGAAAAATAACTGGGGAGTTACCAGGAGACTTTTTTTTGGGGGGGTGGGGGCAGTCAGCTAACCAGACATAAAAGCAACACATGAGGATTAGTAGTGTGCAGAAGAGGGAGGGAGGGCAGCAGAAGGGCCAGCCTGACCCTGCTGACACAGCCGTCCTACTTGCACAAGGATATTTAGAAATTTCTAGGTATATATTAACATTTCATAACTGTAACGTCTCACCTTAACTGGCTATCACTGAACTATACACTTGGGATCAATATCTGCAGTGCAACAGATGATAATTATGTGTTGATAACAAAACAATAAACCACTTACACCATGACCAGTCACATGAACCGGGCAGCTTTCCTCTGCAATACCTATCTGACTGAACAGTGCTGCACTGGTGGGTCTCGCAACTGTCTCTGCAATGGGGACAGATGCGAGAAAATATGTTGGCATTTCTTACGATGTTCAAGCTAGTCCCTGCTGTTATGCAATTTTTGAGAATAGTGCTTCCTCCTTATGTTGCTAAAAAATTATGTCATTAAAATAATTTAGGCTCTACATCATGTAAAACTGAGATTTTCTCATTGGAAATATTCCCCATACGTAACCATCCTCTTCTTCCACCCCACCTTCCTCAACAGCTGTATACACAGCAGGCACATGTATGTACCAGAACAGTTCCTTGACATCTTGTGATGAAGCCTTTAAGCTTTACAAAGAGGCGAAGACAAGCTGCCCAAGCAATTGCCCAAGCAATTGGAGCAAAATGTACATAAAATGTGAGATGCTATACACACACACTTACTTTAAGGGGTTTCTAATAAGGTGCATGAAAAAATGCATTATTTTATTTGTTTTAATTCATCCTTGCCTATAGTAATTTTTCTTCATCATGTTTAAAAGACCTGACCGTTATTCCTTTCAACTGAGGCCTGGAAAGTAAAATACACACATTTCTGAAACAATGAAGAAATATTGGGGGGGGTGGGGTGGGGGGAGGG